TGAACACTCGCTTTAAGTTGCTTGTGCTCGAAGAAATTTTTATTTCTTATAGTCCATAGCTGCCATAGCGCGAATGGTAAAAGTATGGACAAGGGAATGCAGTTATAGGATGACAAAGATTGATTATGTATGAAAGTGTGCCACCAAGTCATAGTATTGTAGTTACTGGACCAATCAAATGATTTATATTTAGCTTAAGAGCCGCCCAAAGTGCAGTAGCATTATGACATTCCAAAAAAATATGATGTATGATTTCAGGAACTAGGCGATATTGTGAACATAAGGATGAATTGATAATTTGCAGCCTTTGTAAATATGCAGCTGTAGGAAGCCTGTCATGACATATTAACCATATAAAAAATGAGATCTTGGGTGGTATTCGGAGTTTCCAAATCCATTTGTAGTTTATGACCTCAGTAGTTATGGAATGATGAACTGTTTGTGTAAGAGCATGATAAATAGATTTGACAGAGAACAAACCATTTGGTGTAATTGCCCAAACAAGCTGATCATAATTGGCAGACACTAGTGGCATATAAGTATCAACAATTTGAACTTCTAATGGGGAAGGTAATACAAAAGGCAAAAGATGCAAATGCCACTTATGATCATAAAAGTACGCAGATACTCTTTTGTTTTCCTCCCCTTTGGGTAGAGGTCCATAAATATAATTACGAACCAGAGAATTATGATCTACCCATAGTTCTGTCCAGAAATTTACATGATTACCATTTGCTAGGTTCCATTTATAACCTAGTCTACAATTTGACCAACCCTTAAGAATGTTAGACCAAATTCTTGAACCATTAATATTACTGAACTTATGAGGCCTAAGATGACTATGTAGTAATACTTGTGCCCATAGCTGATTAGGATTTTGAAATAATCTCCAAGCAAGACTAGAGTGCAAGGCATTATTTTTAAGACAGAGATTTTGGATGCCCAATCCCCCTTGTTCTAAGGGTTGAGTAACCAAGGACCATTTAAGAGATGTAATTTTTTCTTTTGAGGAGTACTTCCCCGTAGAAAATTCCCTTGGTATCTATTGAGAGAGGAAATAATATACGAAGGCAGGGTGATATATTGCATTATATGGTTAGGAAGATTATTGAGAGTTGATCTTATCAGAGTTTGCCTTCCCGCTTTTGTTAAGAAATGAGTTTTCCATCCTGCTAACTTAGATTTAAAATTTTCAACTAAAAACTGAAAATCTCCTTTAATGGGTCTTGAACGAAAAATAGGAAACTCTAAATACTTACCAAAATGTGTGCCCTCCCTTATATGAAACGTATGTTGCATGTCAACCTTCATATGAGCAGGACAATTTTTAGAGAAGAAAATTCTTGATTTGTCAAAGTTAATAGTTTGCCCTGAATGATGAGTAAATTGATTGATGGTGTTAACTATGGATTGACATGATGTAGAAGTAATTTTTGATATCAAAATAATATCATCGGCGAAAAATAGATGAGATAATTGAGGTCCTCCTCTACCTATTGAAATGGGATGCCAAATGTGGTAATCAACTTCAGAGTTTATTTTCCTTGATAGCATTTCTAAACATAAAATAAAAATATTAGGCGAAAGAGGATCACCTTGTCTAATACTTCTTGTAGGTGTAAAATAGTCAGTAGGTGTACCATTTATTAAAAGAGCTGTAGAGGTAGTGGTAATACAAGACATTATTAGTTTTATAAATTTTTGAGGAAAATTTAGATTTTGTAAGGTGTTATAAATGAAGGACCATTCCAGTTTATCAAAAGCCTTTTCAAGATCCAGCTTGAGTAGCATATTAGAATGTTTACCCTTCATTTTATGAAATCTAGTAATAAGTTCTTGTACTATAATTGCATTATCAGCTGCTCGTCTATTTTTCTGAAAACTGGATTGAGTACAACTAGTAGTATATTTTCTTACCAACCAATTTTTCTTTTCAACCGTAGTACCAAAAATTAAAAATATATTTTGTTACCAACCCGTTCTTCTTTTCAACCCTATTTCTTAAAATTAAAAAAAAAAATATTAAAGAGAGGGATAGAATTGTCAACTTTGATTCTGCCACTTCTTTGTATTATTACATCTTCTTCTGTCCTTGGTTCCTTTTCAGATCTTTCTCCTATGTCTCATGACCAGCTAGTTATCAAGGATAAGCTATCACTTGACATTAATTATTTTATTACAAACTTGATACCTTATAAACTTTAAAATTTGAAACATACTAATATAAATTGTAAAATTCGATATTGACACCTCATAAACGTAAGCAATACTATTCCCTCCAATTCAATTTAGATGATACACTTTCTTAAGTAGTCCGTTCCAAAAATAATGATATATTTTTAATTGGAAATAATTTAATTTTAAACTTATCATTTACTCTAGAAGCTTTTATAACCTCACAAATGTCATGGCTCCACAAAACTTTTACTACTTAAACTTTTAAGACCACAAATTTTAAAAATCTCCATCTTTTCTTTTAAACTACGTGCTACCTCGTCTAAATTAAAATGGATGAAGTATATAAAATTAAAAAAAAATTGTGGTCATATTTTGCGTGCTCCTCGAGAACTTTTCCGTTGAAAGAGAGCAACAAACCGGATAACAAGGAATCCCAAACCTTTTCTTATCTTTCGTTTGGACATAAATTTTGACTACTTTTTTTCAAAAGAATTTGGAAACATTGTTTGTTTGATCAGCTTTTGAAAAAACCTTGAAGAAAAATTTTCAAATTTCAAAAATTGGTTTGGGCCAATTTTTTGAGTGAAATTTTATTCTCCGCTCATAAAACTTCAATAATATCTTTTATGTAAAATGTGTGTCCAAACATAATTTCAAATACTAATTTTTTTCAAGTTTCAATCAAATTTATATTTGAGACGCTAACTTAATTTTGTATAACTCAAAGCTCCTATATAAGTAACTTAACTTATTAATTAAAATCAATTAAGTAAGATTTTTCTCTGTTTCTTCCATGTTTTCACATGCATAAAGTATTGCTTCGAGGAAGAATCTTTTGTGTTTACTCTCATGCAACGAATGGCTTCAAAAGGAACGCAGAACTAAAGAAAAATTCATGTACTCCTACTTCAAAGCCGGCAGACATGGTTTAAGTCATCGACTGCCAGACATATAAATGCTTCGCCTTCTTCCCCTTGACTTTCTTCTCATAATACCCTCTGTTCACTTTACTTGGTATCTTTTCACGCTCCTTAAAAAATAATAAATAAAGTGCATAATTTACAATGATACCCATATTAATTGATGCATATTTGTTTGAATTTGAGAAAATAATTTGAAATGAGTAATAAATACTGTGATTATAATAGGGAAAAAAAATTATCTTATCTTGATATGCGTAAAATGACAAGTAAATATGAAAATCTATTTTTAGGATACATACTAAGTAAAAGTAATCGGAGGGAGTACTATTTTGGTACGATGTATTTCCAAATTGAGTAACTCTGTCATTTCTGTTAAATATTTGCACTAAAATTACTTTTCATCAGAAAAAAGTTTCATATTTTACTTTGACTCCTAAAGAAGCTCCAATCTGAGAGAAATTTAAACTATAATAAAAAATAAAGGGATAGATTTGTTTTTTTTTTTTTGAAGAAGAATTTAGACATGTTGAGTCCACTTATTTCACGATGGAATTCTGTTAATACATATAAAAGAATTTACTACAGGAATTAACCATTTCTATATTATATTCTCCGTCCTCGTCGGTGGAATTTTCTCGTACTCTTTCCTACTACTTTGTCTTCATCATCAAAGACTTATATTTTCCTAATGATTAATGTATTTTATTTATTATGATCATTGAGTAGAATAGAGGAAAAGAAGGAGAAAAGAAAAGTATAAAATAATTATCCCTTTGACTTTGGGCAAGGAGACAAGTCATATACTCAGTATGTATACATTATTTAGAAATCAGAATATTATTAACAGGAGTATATGTTTAGAGTGTCGGTGAAGTCTCTACTCAAGAAATAGAATCCAAGTGCTTCTAGCTGAATTTCATGTAATTATTTTAGTTGTGTCATTGGGCTCGATCAGAGGCGGATCCAGGATTTAAACTCTATTGGTTCAACTTTTAAAAAATTTAACATTGAACCCACTATATTTTTAAAGTTATGGGTTCATATCTACTATTTTTGCAATTTTAATAAATTTTTACATATAAATTTACATTCGCCCCTAGGCACGATATCCCTTTTTAAGCAAAAATAATGATTATATCCTAGTTATGGTTTCCTATACAATTTTGTTTCTCATTTATGTTATAACCAACTGATCCTGTTGGGTTTTGGATAAAGACTAATTAGTAAATATTTGCCCCAACTGGCAACTTCAGTTACCAAAAAAAAAAAAAAAATTTGAGTTCTTTGGTTTTCCTTGAGATGTTGATTTGGTTATCATCTACCTACATAAAATCATCCCTCTGCATAGAGAAAAGAATCTATATTTAGTTTACTTATAACTAATTGGGTTGACAAAATAGGCATTTCTTCTGTACCTCCATGATCCAATTTCTAAGCCAGCTCGGTATCTGATTTTAAAATCCCATTATTCCCAAGCAAAATATCCAAAGAAACTTGTGGCACATGCACTGCTTCGTAAAGGTTATTATACATAAAAAAAAAATGCAAGAATACCATAGAACAAAATTTGAGCCACATATATCAAGCAAATTCAACTACTCCCTCTGTTAACAGTGAACCTATTTCTTTTTTGGTCCGTTCCAAAAAGAATGAACCTTTTCTAAATTTGGTAACAATTTAGCTTAAACTTGCAATTCTACCCTTAATGAGAAACTTTTATAACCACACAAGTACTCTGGGTCACTTTTTGACTTGTTTAGGACCACAAATTCTAAAAGTCTTCATTTTTTCTTAAACTCCGTGTCCAATCAAACAGGTTCACATAAATTGGAACGGAGGGAATATATATTATATAATTTTCGGACGAAAGAGCCCAGCCAAACAATACTCTTCCACCCACTATAAATATTTCTTCAAATCAACCTCACTTTAACACTAACATTTTCTAAAGCTACTCTGTTTCTCTTTTCCTCTCATTCTTACATTTAGATAATTTTCTTTCCTAAAGGGAGAAAATGAATACTCTTCTGAGTAAACCATATTATGCTTACTCAAAGATGGAGATGGAAGATTCTGAAGAGCTGCAGCATAGAAGAGCACAGTTCTTGATTCACAAGTCTCTACAGAAATCAGATTCTATATCTCATAGAAGGCAGCCAATATGGTTGAAAGTGAAAGTGTGCAAGTTGAAGATCAAGATTGGGAGAAGATTAAAAAGGATGAAGAAGAGCATCTTGTTAAAATTTTCTGCTACTAAAAATGTGGTATCCAAGCAATTTAATTTTCAGTTGAAATCTTGGAAGCGTTTGATTAAGGGTAGAGAGACTATGGTTAAACTTCCACCCATGTTCACTTGAAGTTTCCTTTTATAGAATAAATCCTCCTCTATTTTTCACTTTATGTGTAGTCACAAGAATGAATGGTGAGACATAATATACACATACTGATATACATACACAGGTTTTCACCTTTCTAATAATGTCAATTTTCAAATTGTATTGGCTTCTCTAGAGATTGAGTTGAAGGTTCCTTTCATCATAAAGAGTCAATTAGTTTTATATTTGAATTAGCTTCAAATGAAAATGAAATATATATATATATATATATATATATATATATATATATATATATATATATATATATATATATATATATATATATATATATATGAATTTCCCAGTCATTTTCTTAGGCCTTTTTGTTCTGATTTCCTGTGGTAAAAGAGGTCATGTGATGCTTTTAGGACTTTGGTTGTTTTGGGGAACACATATTGCTGGACTTTAGTTCACAGGTGCCCTTTAATTTGTCTTGACATTTGTAATAAAACAGAGAGTGATCATACACGGAGCTACAATTTCAAGTTTCATTTGCTGGGTATTAAATTAATAATTTATACTATATTCAATAAATTTTTTAGGATTAGTTATCTCCTATGGCAAAGGTTGATACCTTATTTATTTTAATTAAATATCCTTTTAATAAATTATATTCCATAGCTACCTTTTGACTTTTTTCATAGCCAAATATCTATTTATGGTCACCTCCTACTCTTAAGCCATAAAATAAGCTTTGTATTATTTTTCTCTCTCCACTCAAATTTCTCGTATCCCCTCAAATTTCTCGTATCCCCTACCCCATATCTATTCACCCTCTCTCTCTCATCTTCCACCTTCATCTTACTACCAGAACTCTCCGGCAATGCATCAAATCCATCCGGTTGAAGGAAGGGATACGTTTAATGTATTCTCCCTCTATTCTCCATGAAGGAAGGGATACGTTCAAATCCATCCCCTACCCCATATATATTCTCCCTCTATCTCTCATCTTCCACCTTCATCTTACTACCAGAACTCTCCGGCAAAGCATCAGAATTAGAGTTTTCCGGCGAAGACTTTTGGGCTGCCGAGCAATCATCCGATATAGACATTTTCTCCGGCGTAACAATCATAACCGGAGGCAACAGTGACGGTGAGCGAGTACTGGATACTGATGCTGCTTCAACCTCGCCGCCACCGCGGACTACTTGTGCCCACGGTGCTTGTAAACTCCGTCGAGACTGTGGATTGCTGACGGTGGCTCCGGCGGCTTCAATTGTAAAGAATAGGTTTTTTGAAGCGCACGTGAGGGTATTATGGTAACAGGAACAGTGGCGTTTCGAGTCAGGCTCGCGGCCCTTCTCGACGAGACGACATTAGGGTTGTTCTTGAACAAAGACGACGGAGTTTGGGGCTGAGCAACTTGAATTTTCTATTAATATATTTCAATGTATCTCGCTGTATTTCCATGTATTTCATTGTATTCATTGTCTTTTTTTCATTGTATTTCAATATATCTTGCTGTATTTCATTGTATTCATTGTCTTATTGTATTCCATGAATGTATTCATATATTTTTTTAATTAATATAATTTATGTATTCAGACGTATATATGTATTCAAATTGCTCTGTTTTTGTTGTATTTATCGGCTGGGAAAAATATTGAGCATATTTTCTCTCAGTATTGCTATTTTTTTTGGGTGTTTTTCGGTTGAGAATCTTTTTTATAAAGGAAATACAAATTTTGTGTGTTACAATTGAGTTTGTTAAGTTATATTAGGAGTCTATTATGTTAATTGATTCACTTTCCGTTTAAAAACAGCTGAATAGACCATGAATTGCGCTATTTACGTTACTGTATTCATAAATACATATCGTGAATACAGTCGAATACAATAATCTGTCTAGCTGTAATCCCCTGTTTCACGTCGTGAATACAATCGAATACAAAAATCTGTCTAGCTGTAATCCCCTGTTTCACTCCTAGAAATGCTACTGTATTCATGAATACAGTAGCTTAAATACATCGAATACACACTAAAAAACCTGAAAGCATAGCTATAGAAAGAAATAGTAAATGGTAGCTACAACTAGCTAATAACCACTAAACAATAGTGGTTTATGAAAATTTCTCAATTTTTAAGACAAGTACAAAATTGGGTTCAGCCAAACCCGCACCAGGCACTTTAGCTACGGTTCTGACAATGCAGATTCATATAACGATTCAAACTTATAGCCTGTTTGGTCAAACTTCTGAAATCAGCTTATTTTGAGAAGTGCTTTTCTTAAAAGTACTTTTAAAAAAGGTGCTTTTGGTGAGAAGCAGTTTGTGTTTGGCTACTTAATTTGAAAAGCCTTGTGAGTAGTAATTAGTGTTTGGCCAAGCTTTTGAAAACTGCTTCTAAGTGTATTTTTCTCAAAAGTGCTTCTTAGAAAAGTGCTTTTGGAGAGAAACTACTTTTTTCTGCTTCTCAAAAACTGCTTCTGCTTCTCATCAAAAGCACTTTTTTTCCTCACAAAAGCTTGGCCAAACACCTTAATTTTTGGCCAAAAGTGCTTTCGGCCAAAAAAAGCACTTTTGGCCCAAAAAAAAGCTTGGCCAAACAGGCTATTAGTTGTGACCGAAGCTTAGCTGTTGTTGCTGCACTACGAGCTTTCTATATTTCTTTTCCATTTTTATTTCTTGGTTGGCTTCCTAATTAAATTCTGTTGTCTGGAACTTTGTGCTTCTGCTCTTTGAGCTCTCTATTTTTATTTTATCCTTTTTGTCTTTCTTGGGTTGCTGGAATGGAGAGGGCCGCGGTAGGAGGTTTTTTCTTTTGAATCGAATGCTACTCAGTAACCTTTAGAGACTGAAATTATCTACGTCTAAATTATATTATTGTGGTCTACTCAATCGAAGGGTCGAGATTAATGTTTCATTGCATAATTAGAAGGAAGCTGAAAATATCTAGCATCAAAACAGTTTTGTACTACTACCAAAGTACCACGGAAAGTTTTTGTTTCCCTCTAGTTTACATTCAAATCAAAGTAAACCGAGCCTAAATAATCACGTCATCTTGTTGGTATTGCAGGAGCTAGTGTGATGGAGTACATTAGATAACTGAATCTATACACCTGGAAATTTCCGTAATTGGTACCTAATTTCATTATTACACTAGAGTATGGCCCAAATTCATCAATGAACTCATCTGACTTATAAGTTGATGACCAATTTTTTTTTTTTTTTTTTTTTTTTTTTTTTTTTTTTTTTGATGTTGATCAAATCTCGTTCAATGTAATGAATGGTGATATTGGTTGGGGCGCCACGAAGATTTGTGATACTTGACCTGTTTGCTTAGTTACTTTTTTTTGGGCGATGCAACACCTAATGATTTGGGAACATTCAAAGAATCGATAGCTCACGGGATTCTATAATTCATGCCAAATGTCACATTTCACTATCTCATTTTTCGATGTTTGCTTACTTGATCTAGTACATCTTGAGAATAAAAGAGTACAGATTTCGTGCCGTTACAAGAAGGGTGATCACGCAGATGGTCTGTATGACTAAAGTAACGTTTCTTAATTAAAACAGGAAAAAGGAACATGCCTTCCATGAATAATTCCAACTTGAGATACACATGGGCCATGGCTATCTATATAGTATAACGTTATTATGCCTCTTTTATTTCTTCAAACAAATTAAACTTTAAGTGTCCTACGTCAGTTATTCTCTTAAATTAGATAACCTATATGATCTTTTATTTCTTAAAATTTTTATCTCCATCACCGAATTTCAATAATATACAATTTGAACTCTTGCCATGGGTAGATTTAATAAAAGAGAAATTACGAGTGAAACACCCTCTTGTCTAGCTTGCTAAATTAAACATGTTTTGTTAGAGAAATGCATGCATGTTAATTGAATTTCTAAATGGTGGCCCTCCATAAAATCGCACTCCATCAAAAAGTTGGTCAAGAAATTAAAACTGGGTGGAAGCTTTTCCTCAGTTTCACATTCTTGGTTGGACCTGCTGGCTTTAAGCCAGCACCATCTCTTTGACGGTAAGACATTTACAGAGTGGAATCATACAGTACCAGACACGGGGTAGATCTTCCCAATCATTCTTTTGAAAATTCTTGTTTGACGTTTTTAAAGAAACTCATACTTCCATAATTTCCTCCCAATAGAGATTTATATATTTGTTGATGTTGAATTTAAGTTGTGGTCGTTGAGTGATAATGTCATTGAACATGTTGACTCCCATTGAATTTGTTTACCGCATTAGTATTCTTTCATTAGTCGTGACTTATTCCAACTTTTGGGTTTCGTATACCAATTGTCACGGCGGGACTAAAACTTTCCACAAACGATCTGAAACAACTCAAGTACTCAACCAATTTTGATGTGGTAGTTGTTCACTAGAACGGAATTAAACATACCCAGTCTTCATTTATTAGTTGTGTATTAGTACGGAATTAAATATATCATCTTCTACTTTGTCACAATCATTAATTTTGACGTAAATGGTGCATTAACTAATATTAATGGAAAAACAAAAGAGCAACCCAAAGAGGATATTACTCTCCAACAACAATCTTTAAAGATTTCTTCTCTCACAAAATCAAAGTGGGGCATGAAGAGTTGATAGCTCAAGTTCACACTATGCAAGCAGGATCAAGCTGGAAATTTTATTCAAGCACATTTTAGGGCCCCTTTATTATTTGTCCTTATCAGTACAACCGTACATATTTACAAATACTAGTACCTAACATTAACCTTTCATATTAAAACCTCTCTAATACTTTGCTTTTCTTTATTTGACCTCTTTGAGAAGAATCCATATCCATGGTCTAAACTTGTCTACCATGTGCAAGTAAAGGGAGGAAAAATTAATTTCAAAGGCATTACAAATTATGAAAGCTAATCATGTGCCACATGAGTGTAGTTTCTTTGTATGTTAACAAGTGATAAGAACTACGGTTTCCAAATAATGAATATCCTTTTGACTGTCTTAAGTTTTCTCCTTATCTTTTGTTGTATCGTTGCAGGTTCGCCTATCGAGAGGTGTCATTTTTGTCGTGGTAATGTATCTGGCTACTATAAGTTCTACAACTTTTATAACTAGAGGCGGAATTAGAGTTTTAGGAGTGAGCTCGATCAAACCCATCATATTTAGCACTGACTATAGATATCCATGTGTAGAAAACTATGATACAAATATGAAGTTCTTACCCATATTT